GTGCCTCCACAAGAAGAAAACCTATTAGCGGTTTTTCACCCATGAGAAACCAATGCATCACCTACAGAGAGGTGCACTTAGTGGGTTTTGGGTCCCTGAAATTATTTGCATCAGAAAATTACAGTTTTAACTGCACTTAAGACATTTCATACACAAGCACCAGAAAGAAAAAACAAACAAACAAACAAAAAAAAAAGGTTATCTATGTTGTCAGAGTTATTGGCCACCAAAAAAAAATCAATGCCCCCTAATGGATTTTTCCCTTTTTCCTCTTTCGTTCTTGCCTGATGTGGTAGTGCTTGTAAAGTGTCAACCAAGAGTCACAACTTGGTCTAGGGGCTCCTCTCTCCATACTAGACTCGATCCCTCTAGCTGCTGGCCAGATTTTTGGATAAAAAAGCCGTGACATCAGAAGATAGTAAGAAAAGGCTTTCCATGTGAAGCATTGGAAGAAACGTGCTGCCTTCAATGGTTTCTGACCCTGGAAGCACTGCAGAGAACAGACTGCACAGAAGAGCTCAACAGACCTGACCATCTCAGGGCTGTCTGCAGTTTTAGCCCTGTAGCCATAATGCAATGCACCAGAGAAAAAAGGTAGGGATGTTTGAAGAGCATATGCCTCTTGTGGAAAGTTCACTGGTACAGGATAGAAAAAAAAACACATCTATGTGTACTGCCTGAGCTACACAAAAACTTGTTATCTTCCTGCGAAAAACACTTTTACATCAGAGAAGCTCTGATGAGTGAAATCAAGGACATTCCAAAATGATTCATGAGTGTGTAGCCTGGCTACAGCTGACAGTAAGGTGACTGTGCCTTGACAGGCTAGGATGACAGGCTGAAAGATGAGCTCCTAATGAAATCAAGCTCAAAAGCAAAAGTAGAGAAAGCTCTAACACCTGATAATTTAACGTAGAAAAACTTACACTGTAATTGCATATGGAAGCGCTCTGGTGCACAATGATGTAATAAAATGGGTATCTGTACCAAAACAGATATGAGCAATGGTCTCATGAGCATACAGAGGTGAAGGTACAACAGCAGGACATGGCATTACAAGGGAAGCAAATGTATTTACACAGCAGGTTTGCAGCAGAGGGGGGTTGCACTGTGCAGAGCAAAAAAGCATGCCCAGCAAGAGGGAAGATACACATGAAAAACGACATATAAATGCATCCTGCCCAAATTCCCTGCATCTAGACTAACAGAGAAGCTCAGCGCATAGAGCACAGAAACAGTGACATAGATGGCTTGGGTCTGTTGGGTTTCTACCATTGGACAAAATAAGGTAAAGACAGTGATAAGGCATTTGTTACTCAAATCTTAATAGGTCCTGCAGAAGATGCCTTAATGTTCAAAATCTGGATGCAAACAGAGTTCATCAGAGTGAAAGGAAAAGTCTAAACATGCACACTGTCTACGTGAATGAAACGTAGGTATTTAAACATTCCTCATATGCAAAAATGCTATGTTGAAATGCAGGTACAGTCAATGACAGGAAAATGTCAGAATCTAGACCTTTTCTATAATAAATATGTAGTTTGCACCAGTACTAGAAAGAAAAGTCTTTTTAAATTAAAAAAAAAAAAAAAGGAAAAAGAAGAAGAAAATGCATCCTCATTCATTTAAAATGTTACTGAAACTTTGCATATTCATGTTATCTACAAGTACTGTTAATATCGAGGACCAGAATATAGGAGACACTTCAGCTTAAAGCACAATGTTATATTTTTGAAAAGGCAAAGGAATCATTGGTGTTAGATAAAAAAGAATAATACAGGTGCAATTTGGTCAGGAGGACAGAAGGGGATAGAGAGAGAGATGCAAGCATCCCCTTAGGAACTGTGCAGAAGGATATTGCTGCCTACCCAGCCTAGGCCATCAGTGATAAATTCTTGTACCAAACACATTCCTTGAGCAAGCAACTACAGCCAGACACCGCCAGACATCACAAAAGACAAACGGGTTAGCTGCTTTCACAGTCCCAGGCTTTCTCTCAGAGAACTCATCAAGGTGACGTGCAAAGTGAAATGTAAAACCAAACACTGTTGGTGTGCTGCTTCCTAAATCCCGGGCAGAGACTCTGAATTAGAGAAAAAAAAAACACACACACACACACAATAGTTCACCCACTGCTTCCCACTAATACGGAACTCTCTCTAGTATATTTATTTGCTTCTGGACTTTTAGATGTCCCAAGTGATAGATTACTCACAGAGGAGCATTATTCCTGACAATGAGATCTGTTGTGCTTTTCTCAACTTCCTGCTAATGCTTAACCTAACATTTTAGAATTAATTTTACTTATCTGTTGCTTGAGTAACACCTACGCACTAAGCACCAGAAAGCCCTAATTCAGTGAATTATTTGTTCATTACACGCAGGCAATCTGGCTCTTTTAGAGACAAGTTACTGCGCTCTTTGTAAGGTAACCTTTATCAGGGAAAGCAGTGACTCACTGGGCAGCAGGCAGGATGGCATGACACACCACGTATGGCAGACAGTAATCTCAGTAGGCAGACTGCGACACTGGCAGCACTGACAAAATCAAAGTCATCTCCTGCTAAACGTGATCTAGGATGCCCCGAGTATGAAGTTTTAGAGAAGCTTTTTGAGGCAGTAACCAGTACTAAAGAAAGTATTTTCATTAGACCAAGATACATTTAATTGAAAGAGCTAGCAGGTGTATCTGTAAGCTGTTATTTGAAGCTCTTGATGTTGGTATTTTGGACTTCAATTACTGTTTTGAAGTTTCCTTCCTCATTTATCTGCACATGGCTGGACCCCAGTAAGGTGTGCTTGCTGTCCAAACGTGGAAGACAAGCACCAAGCATGGAGCTCTGCTAGCTGTCACACAGGCAGGGTTCCCACAGCTTCACAAGCATCGCTACACAACAGCCCATGCCTCCTGAGCCTTATGTTCCAGGGTGGTCAAGGGTGAGAAAAAAGCTATTGATTGTAACCAGCTTGGGCTGGCAGGAAAGCAAAAGCCACTGTTTGGAAGCTGTGTTTTGGCTCCCTTTGCTGCCCAACCAGGAAATGTAAACGGGAGAAAGATACTATTGATACTGGCAGGTTCGGGTGGCAGGCCAGGAGCCAGCCAGGCCCTTTGGGCTGACCCATGGGTAGGTCTGCATGGCCTCACATCACTGAGAAGCAGCACACGTCTGTTCAGATGAAATTACACCACAGTCCAGCCCTTTGTAGTACATGAAGTAGCTCACCTAGAGCTGGCTGAGGGATTCTGTGCAGGGACACCTCCTGTCTTCCCACCGCAAGCGTTGGTTCCTCTGAGTTAGAGCTCACGTTTGCACTGACTGTAATACCTGTGCTGCATCCCCTCTGTGAACAAAAATACAAATGGGTCTCTCAATAGAGTCCTGTAACATCGTTTAATCAAGCTTCTACAGATAGCAGTTTAAAGCCCTTAAAGCTAACCAAATATCTCACTTTCTTTGTCAAAAGCCTGGAATTATTTTGCTGGAGATGTTTACTTCCTGGTGTTACATGTTACTCCTATTGCACAGAACATACCAAGTACCTTGAGGAGCAGTGAATACACTGCATGAAGCCCGTTAGCATGCAGATCTGGGAGTCCTACTGCAGACACTGTGACAGAGCCAGGCTCCTGAGTAGGAGTTCAGTCTCTACAACCCTAACCCTTATGCAGACTGCTGAAGGGCCTGCAACCCCCAAAATGCTTTCTGTAACTCAGCACTGCAGTTTTAGGCAGATGCCATACATACTACCTGCTTTAAAACAGCCAGTTTTGACATACTAGGATGATTTTAACCATTTTAAATGTAGCTCTGTTCTGCACAGCTGCCACCCCTTGCCTTCCCCCTTCCTTGTCTACTGATCTGCTCTGGGGCTCCTGCCAACATCCTCCCCACAGCTGATGCCAGCTTAAGCAGCTCTGTGGTGTCCCCCGACCCTCTTTGCCTCCCCCCATCCAACCTCCCATGCAGCTATACTGCTGCAGACAGACCTTGGCAATCACAGGGACCCCAGCCCCTGCCCCCAGTCCACATTCTCTCATAAACACTTGATCCAAAAATCACACCCACTTTCTTTCTCTCTTGACCAGAGCTTCCTGCGCAGCTTTGTAAGACCTCATATAATAAATAGCTTATTTGCTCATTGAAAATTTCCCATTTGCCTTAGCTGTCTGAAAGCCAATTTGGATCAAGCCATCTCTTCTGCGTTTCAGCTAACGTGTTGTTCAGGCCACAGCTGTTGACGTTAGTGACTCCACGTCTCTCATCTGCCAGTGGCAAGCTCCGGCCTTAACGCAGGCTTCCTCCTTCACGTAGGAAGCATCTTGCAAAAAGGCACTTCCTGTAACAACTCCGTAACATCAAGCAGAGTTAACAAAGTGTGCTTGAGCAGAGCTCCTAGAGCATGCTGCAGGATCAGAGACATTTCCAACAGAAACAGCAGGAAGCCAGATACAGTGAATGTGATATACCAACCTTCCCACGGCACACCTCATACTTACCTTTCCATACTTGTATAAACTGGCTGGGTTCAGACTGAGAAACTGAGAAACTCTTCTGATAGCATTTCTACTGCTATCAAGCTATTTACCGAACCACAAGGAAACCCCTTTCAAAACCCATTTCAGATTGTACTTGTGAAACTCCAAAAGGTCACTCGACTGCACCAGTTTTTGAATAGGAAGCTGCAAGTGTCCAGCTGGGATTTAAATTTTCCTGCCCTTCTGGGCAGGAGTCAGACCAGGACTGGACGGGCAGCAATTTTGTGGGAGGGATCACAAGTTGAGCTAAGGTCACCAACCCCAGGATGCTTGTATTCAAAACTTTGAAACAGGAGAGGGAGACAGCTGGGGGTTTTAGAGGAGGATCACAGCGTGGTAAGTCGCTGGCAGGACTTCACAGGGCTTGAGGAGTGAAAGGAAGGAAAAGAACGGGTTCAGGCAGAGACATTTTCAGAAGTGTGACAATGGGAAATGCTAATGAAGGACAACGGGAACTAAAAGGAACGATTAAGAGCTCCAATCCTTTTATTGGTGCATTTGACATCTGGTTAAACACTATATACGTTTGCAGCTCAACATCCAGTAGCTCTTGTATACAAACCATGGTGGTACATCAGCAAATTCACAGTGCCGAAGAAAAAGCAATTTAACACTCCAGGCTCCCAGGAGCAGAGCAGACAGCAAGGCATGCCGGTTCACTGGGAGGAACGGTGGGGATGGAGGAGAGCACAGATACCCAGAACCTGCCTCCACTAGCTCAAATTAAACAGCTAATTTCCCCAGGCGCTCGCTACTGGAACAGGCTTCTTCCAGAGGATGATTCACTACACGGTTACGCTGCTGCTCTACAGAAGTCCCATGAATTTATTCTTTGTTCCTTGGAGGAATACAGCTCTCCACAGCCCTCGTCAGTAACTGCAGAGTGGGCCCAGGGAGCCTTGGGGGCCCGTTTTCATGCTTACAGATGGGGAGCGCGAAGTCTCCCTTCCCTTTGCCATCCCTCCCCGACTACCCGTTGTGAATTGGCAAGTGGTATTGACCCCACATTCACAGCCAAGGAGCTCATCAAGACACAGGAAATCTCTTGTGCTGCCACACACAGCAGATACACACACACAGCAGATTTTAATGTCACTTTGATCCAATATGGACTTTCTGTATTTTACCATGAATGCCGTCAGGGTAAAAGCCTCCCCACTCATACAGCATCAGGTCTGCCCAGGCAATGTCCATTAATTACGCTGGTAAAGAAGTCGCTGTGAATGCTGAGGAAGGTGTGTCCATTTGGGTGAACAAGCACGTGGCCTGCCTGCTGCAGATCTGCTGGCGACCCACAGGGATTTCAAATCCACTGGAGTCAGTAAGAGGCTGTTCACTGATTTTAACAGATAGATTTAAACAAATCTCGTATGCAAAATTCATTCACATAGCAAGCTCTAACTGCTCCTAAAATCTCATTTGGAAAAAATTGCAGTCTTCCCTTCCCTGTTTCAAACTCTAGCTGAACTATATCCAACTTCTGAATGAACATGACTGAAATAAAGGAAGACCTTTTTCCATTAGTACGGAGTGGTTCTAATTATGTATACATTCATAACACATAAGCTCCCTCATTAAAAATTGCTGAAGTGATAATGTAGTAAAGACGTGATGACTGTGTGTTTGAAAGAACAACTGTGCGGACCAAAGTTTGCTGCTATATTAATAGAGCATAGGCAGATGCTGTAATTAGAAAGTAAAAGGCAAACAGAAATCGTTAATAGCTTTGTGCACTGCTTAGACTTCTCCTTAAAGTTTTTCTTTAGGAAAGTGATAGTGTCTTCATATGTGACCCTGGGACTACTGCAAAATGCTAAACACCCATCCCCGCAGGTGTGATACTCCATAATTGCATGGCTATATTTGCAATTTGCTCCATTTTCTACAGTTCTATTCTAATTTTATCACTATTTTTAATGAATTGTACTATTTCCAGGAGCACATTAGTTATTTTTTCTTAATACCAGGATGCGTATTATTTTTAGGTGAGATTCATTCATATGCTGAACTAGACACACACAATTGAAGGACAACGACATGCTGTTTCCAGTACCAAAAAAAAATAAAAAATAGATCCATTGTGACTTGTGACAAAATACTGGAGAAGGTAGGCAGGTGATGCATTTTTAGTGTACTGTTCCAATCTCTGCTGGAAAAAGACTTCTGTGTTGGCACAGGGCACCAGAGAAATTAAGTGAGCGAACTCAACATGGCATCTGTTAAGAGACTTACTTACTCTACGCTGGTTTGATACCAGTGTAGATTGTATTTGAAGGTAAATGATTCCCAATGTGGAAACAAACAAACAAACAGGTACAACTACCAACTAGGGCAAAAACACAAAACAGTTCAGGGCATCTGGAAGAAAAGGTCAGGAGTGTGGTGGCACAAGTTCAAGTAAAGAGGTGGAAAACTCATCTAAAACTTCATTCTAGGCAATGTTATATGTCCCTCATTTTCAGACATACCTAAATAGAGGAGAAAACATCCACAGGAAGGAAAATCATATCAAGTATTTGCAGTCCTCCAAGATCTGCTCTCAGGGACATTTCCAACTGAATTGATTGGGAGCAACCACGAGAAAGCTTGTTGCTGCTAGGTTCCTACTTGCCTGTAAGGACAGCAGTGCATTGGGGCAGGGTAACGTTTTGTTCCAGCTAACACTAGAAGGCACAGGGTACGGCCCAGGCTTTCCAGGCCACACAGAGAGCCTAGGAGTCACATCTAGTCAAAGAGAATGTAATGAAACAGAAACAGCAACTGCTTGATGGCAACACTGAGCTCTAGACCTAAAGCTTTCCCGTCTGCCCCGTTCCTCCTTCTGTAGGAGTGACCTTAAGAACAGATTTTCTCTGGCTGTTCACAGTGTTGCTGGATTGTCTCAGCAAGGTCAAGACACCGCAAAATTCGCCATTTCTCAGCAGCCAGCTCCTCCTTGGATACCTGGCCCAGCAGTTTTTTGGCAAAGAGGTTCTGATCCTGCATGAAAAGACCCACAGCAGACCTTGGGGCTTGAGGGAAGTTCTCCAGGCAACCACTGGTGAAACAGAAGTTGATTTTCTTTTCACGTCTCATCCCTGGTCCTCTTTCTTCAATCCAAGTTAGAGGTCTAGTGTGGAGAATCAGAGAAAGAAAAGAGTACTTATGAAAAAAAAAAAAGGAATCAACAGTTCTACTATAAGCCTGTTTATCAGTATTTACAAAAAATGCCTAATAAAATTTTAAATTTCAGACATTGCATCTTCAAATTAACACATTCTTACCAACATGTCTTGTGGTTATGGAACTGAACTCCACGTACAGTCCTGACTGTACACTGCTTAATGCCATGGCTTTCAGCACACCACTTAAGCTCTCTCCAGCTCTGTTTCCCCTATGCACAAGGTGTAGCCAGCAGTCTCTAGCCATCTCATGGGGAATAGGGAATTCTAATTCATTCATTCATTTGTGGACTTGGCTGAAAAGTGCAGTTAAACATTCAAATATTTTGTGCATGACTTGACCATAGCTAAACTTACAAGGCCCTCAATGTCTAGTCATTCCTATAGCAAGAACACACTTTCATCACTCACACACACATAATGATGATCCAGGTGCTGCTGTGCAAGCACCTTAAGGGAAGTTCTCCTTAAGGGAAGTTGCCCGGGACAAGTGTTTGCCTGGAGAACTCCACCCCTTTAGGATGAGCTGGACGGTCAGCAAGTTCACTCCTGCAGACACTAGCGTCTGTAATCTCTTTGAACTTTTCAAATACACCAGTAAGCACTGAGTCGATCCTGAAGATTATGCCAAATGATGTCAGTTTTGCCTGTTCAAGCTACATAGACTCTCAGACAAGTCTTTCTTAACCAGAGCACCGTCCTGTTTTATGCCACACAATAGCCACGGTCGCCCAGCCAAGCACTGGTGCTGCTGCCTGGCACAGCTCGCGGATCCCATGTTCCTCCCCAATTTGCCAGGCTGGCTGAGGAAAGAGAAGCCATGGCAAGTGCTGTGTTGCTGAGGGGTCTTATCAGATTCCCTGGCCCCACACAACAAATGCTTGCAGGAGGTTTGAGGAACGATCCTCAGCAAAAGCCACAGATAATCCCCCTTCCTGCTCTTTTTTCAACTGCCTATGCCGTGCCATTACCTTTCTGCAGCTCATTCATCAGCACCCACTACTGCCTGTGTTTAGAAGATGCACACTATTTTTCTCACTCAGTTATTGATGGCCTATCCACAATCCTTTATGGCCCACTTTAGTCTGCCATTCACAAATTATGAGGGCATCAATAGCGTGGAAGAATAAATTCTGTCTCCAAGCAATGCCCATTAAATCTTCAATATCATTAGATCAAGAAAGAAAGTCCTTGTCAGTCTACCCTGAATGCATTCCTCAGAGCACTCAGCTTAATGATTCTGTACCACTCATCTTTTATGCTTTAGGAGCCAGTTTCTATATTCATATCTTTGTATCAATTATTCTTTGCTCACCCTTAGTGCCACGCACACCCCCTACAATTAAACCTGGCCAGAAGAAACTGAATGAACAGAGCTAAACTACTGTAGAGAAGGGAAAAAAAATGACTCAAATCACAGCTTGGAAAAAAAAAAATCCCCACAGGCTCCTTGTGTTTCAGGAAGTCCTAAGGCTACTTGTCGCTGCAGGCCATAAGGGTGCTTGAGGGCTGTACCACTCGGTGCTTTCCGTGTTCTCATTCTCCTTCCCTGAGGTGTCTGCTGTTGATCATGGCCAGAGGAAGGCCACCAAGCTAGCTGGTTTTGCTCTGATGCAACGCAGACGTTTTTATGTCCTCATGCTACCAAAACAGCCACGGAGGGTTCAGGCCACTGTTGTCTGAAGCTGCTTTGTCTCAGGTAGGCTGGTGTGTAGAAACCATCAGGCAGATATAGGCAGAGACCTCCACCATGTAACAGAGGGGAGCCCACGATATGACCCACAAAAGGCAATGTAAAGATGGGGCCAGATCCCTGGGGTGATCTAGAGCAGATGCACGTCAATGACCAGGGAGCCGGTGAAGCAGAAGCACAATCACACAGACCAGACGGAATTTAAGCAAAGTGACCGAAATGACTGCCTTGGAGTTGTGAGCAGGAAATGCTGATTTTACTAATAGATTCATCTTCTGTGATTGGGACTTTTAGTTATTTTCCCAAAGAGACTGCTGATTCTACTTAAGAAACAGGCTTGCATTTCATATCAGAAAATCATTTTTTAATAGGGTTGCTGCTTTTTAACAGGTAATTTATCCATTTTCATTAAAGATTTGTATCACAGCGCTATCTGGTCATGGACGTAATTAGTTATCTAGAAGCTTTATTTGGAAATGACAAACCCAGCATTTTTGGTAGCTAAATAAAGCCACAACTGAATTTGTTGTGCAGTTAAGAAAGAAAAAGAGATTTTAACCAAACACTAACAAACCACTTTTTGTGCTGACTTCACAAAGGAAGCACTATCTGCGGCGAAGAAACCACACCAGCATTTCACAGTTATTTTGTCTTACCAGATTTTAGACCTGTAGAGTGATTAAGGAGGTATTGGGGAGGCATTGGGGAGGCAAGGACAATCCCCAGACATGGACTGTATATCTCGAAACAAGACGCTGCAACTCATGATAAGGAAGCGGCAGACGGACAGAGAAACAAATGTAAGGACTATAAATCTCAAAATTGGACATTGGAATTCATTATAAAGATACAACAAATGGAAGAATTGGCAACAACCAGCTCTCGCAATTAAGAAACGTGCCAATTCAGCAGATTCCTGACCAAAGGTGAAAAGTACACTGTGAGGAAGACTCGGGGTCTTCCTCCAAAGACCCCTGCCCACGTCCCAAAGACCCCTGCCCACAATTCTTGGGAGGCTCTACGCAGGCGCAAGGTGCCAAAAGGCTAATTAGCATGAGAAGCGAGGGAAGGCGGGGATAGGTAATGCATATGTATAGGCGCTTGTAGAATATTGATAGATTGATTGTATAAATTCAAGACTGCTTTCCGCTTTGGGTATGCACGATAGGTGGAGAGATCCCCCGTGCATCCAGCGCTGCAATAAAGTAATAACCACTTAAAGGAATTTCGGCTTCGATCTTTGAATCAATCTGGCACCCCAGATGGGACTACCTCTCTGCCGGTCCGCAGGAACCCGCTGGGGACAGGACTCCCTAGGGTACCCCCGGGATTTCCCGGAGGGACTCCTCGACTCACCGGATCACTGCGGAGGCAGACAGGACCCCATCATTGTAAGTGAGTATATTCTTTATTCTGGTTGGTTTTCTGGTAGACCGGTCCGTCTGGGACTGTCCAGTAAGTCGAAGGTGACTTCTGCAGGACAGTGTTTGGTTATACCTTTGTGGTTAGTACCACAAGTATATTTGGGGACCTTGGGGGTCCATCTGTATCTGGAACTGTCTGTAAGTCAGAAGGTGATCTTCTGCGAGGCAGTGTTTGGTATATACCTTTGTGGTAAGCACCATAAGTATATTTGGGGACCTTAAGGAAAGGAGCTCGCTTTAAAGGTCCATCTGGAATTGTGTTGTTATTTCGGTTTTCTGACTCATGGAGTATGGTATTTAACTCTGGTTATTGTTACTGTGATTTTGGCTATTTTTCTGGTTGTAATAGTAGGTTCGTGGCATTGTTATAAGAAAGATATCGTTATGGTGTTACACAGTTCGGTTTTCTGACTTATCGCATGTGGAATTTGACTCGACTATTGTTATTGTGATTTTAGCAATATTGCTGGTAATAGTAGCTTTGTGACATCGCTACTGAAAGATATTGCGTGCCTGTAATTTTGTGAGTGATACGTTTTTGTGATACGCTTTTGTAAGTACACGTGTATTCTGAAAGTGTAAACTGGAAAATGGGGGGGCGAGTAAGCAGTGAAATTCCTAAGAAAAGTGCGTTAGGATGTGTTTTGATTCACTGGAAGGATATTGGAGGATCCTGCCGGTGGAAGTGTGAACAGGAAAACATTGATAAAATATTGTAATCAATGGTGGCCGCTTTATAAGCTGGAATGTGGAGAAAAGTGGCCTCTAAATGGAACTTTAAAGCTCTAATGTTTGCTACAGTTAATGTTGTTTTGAGAAGGAGAATAGGATGAATGTTGTATACTGATGTTGTTTTCAGCATCTTGGTGGGAAAAGGTACGGAATTAAGTTGGCCCCTGACTGAGCCTTGATGTTGGCATTAGAGAAGTACCAGGCTGGAGAAAGATAAAGGAAGTGTTAAAAAGGGTTGTTGAAAGTGTTAAAGGTGTTTGAAGTTGAATGAGCAGGGAAAGAGGATGTAGGAATGTTAATAGTTCTGCATCTGCTCTAGGCAGAGATCTTAAAATCATGGGTGTTAGCCCTTTGGGGCAAATGGATCATGATGGGTCCGAGAGAGAGTTGTTATGGAAACAGAAAAACATTAACTCTTAAAACAACCTGAGTTCATGTGCGAGCTCAGATTACCGATGGGACCGCTCAGGGACTGTGGACAACTGCATTCCCCTGACCGACCCCACTGAGACCCTAATCATCCCTAAAATTATGAACGGCTAAGTAAATACTAAATCTGGATGAATTGGGAATTGAGAATATGCTTCCAACAAGGTCTAAAAGAAACCCCTATGGAATTTTTGGACCAACTCTGAAATGTAAATGAAAATAAATAAATAAATAAAACAAAACGGTTTGGACCTGGCTTCGGAGGACAAATTGACTAGCCTTTTTTCTAGGGTAATCATTGGTCCCTGATTTCAAACAGGAATAACGGGGAACTGGGAAATCTACCTAGTGGATCCTCCACTGCTTATAATGAAGCTAGGGGAGGAATGAAGTGAAATTCTCTATTGATATGGGGCAAACGTATTCAGTTCTAAATCAAGCATTAATGCCTTCACAGAATTATTATGTTAGGGTAAAAGGTGTGTTGTGGTTTAACCCGGCTGGCAGCTAAACACCACGCAGCCGTTCGCTCACCCTCCCCCTCCCTCTCTGAGACGGGGGAGAGAAATGGAAAGTGAAGCCCGTGAGTTGAGATAAAGACAGTTTTAATAAGACAAAAATCTAACTAACCAGGACAAGGTGTAAACGAAAGGCTTATTTTTGTGAACCT